AGTGTGCCCGTTTGTTCACGTGAATAGATAGAAAAGGTTGCCTTTGCTTAGACAAAATTTGAGTGTATTAAGGCTTTTGAGTATGCTCAAATATGTGTTGTCCTGTTGTGAAGATAGTATTTGAGATCCATTTGACAACAGAGACCTTCAGCAGTTGTGTGTCCTTATTTGTTAAGTAATTGTCTAGCCGTCAGGACTGCAGAATGACAAACGGCAGCCAAAGCATTGGTGTCTGCCTGGGCTTGCAAAGAACCTGAAACGCTTCTCATCCTTCTGAACTGCTGCTGTGGGCAGCTGGGTTTAAGTGTGAGCGACCAGAGCAGTTACTACGATGTGAATAGAGCAAGTCTAGGAGTGTGCAGGTGGGAGGTAAAGAGCTTGCACTTTAGCCTCTTGTCGTGCAAGCCCTATATTGGCTCTGGGTTAGTTGGAAGAATAAAAAAACATGGGAACATGCAACAATGCATCTTAATTTTTGTCTCCTTCAAAACTAGGATATGAAGAGTACATTGCCATGGGCATTGATCCTAAGAAGCTTGTGATGGGCATCCCCTGGTATGGCTATGACTACGTCTGCCAAAACCTATCAAAGGTAAGGTGAAGATTATTCATTTGCAATCACACTGTCAGGTTTTTTTCCTTGGAAAGAGACAGCTCGGTTTTGGTCATAATGTTTTTAGATTAGGAAACACTGTGGTCTGATGAATAAGAGCCTAAAGCTGGGACTCAGAACAGACTTCTGCTCGGCTGATACCCACTGGGCAGTGTGTTGCCAAACAAGGCATTTTATCTCTCCCTGGGCAACCTGAACCCCGTGATACTCACATGGCGGGTTTGACTAAGGAGCTGTTGATGGTATCTGTATGAGAAAAGATGATGTCCGAGGGCACAACACTTGTATTTGCCTTCTCAACACAGTCACTAAGCTCACTGCTTAAAGACTAGGTACAACAAACTGTAGCAAACTTGTGACTCTTCAAGTGTATTGGTTTATGGATAAATCATGGAGTCTCAAACAACATTATTCTTAGGAAAAATGTAAGAGTGATTTACAAGTGGAGAAGACAACTGTGTAAGTTGAATGATGTCCGTCTGATCCTGTATTACTACAGAGTAAATAAAATTTAACTGTTTTAATTTCCTTCTGTTTACAAATAGTATGTCTGCCACACATTCTTAAAGATTTGGGATTTTTGAGTCCCTGCTGCCTTTTGTGACTTCCTTCTTGGCTATTCTGTAAATGTAGCAAATGTGAAGCTCATGCCTTCTGCTTTTTTTTTTTCCAGGATCATGTTTGTTCCCTTTCCAAAGTACCTTTCCGGGGGGCTCCTTGCAGTGATGCTGCAGGGCGTCAGGTGCCCTACAGTGCAATAATGAAGCAGGTGAACAGTTCTCTTTCAGGGGTGCTGTGGGATGAGGTACAGAAGTCTCCGTTTTATGAGTACCAGGTAAGGGTCTCTTTATAAGACACCACGTTGTGGAGTAGATGTTCATGGACCATAGTTCTTTGACTATAAAACTTTCAGGGTTAGATTTTTCCATTTGTGTTTTCTACTTCTGTTTTTTTCATGTAGTAAAGGATGGCTGGATTTCCATATCTTGAATTCTGAAAGAGACGTGCAGTGACTGAAGACTACAGGAGTAATAAAGAAAAGTCTTTATTACTTTGCAGTTTTCCCAAGAGCTTGATTAAACGTCAAAAAGGACATTTTGGCACAAAGAAATCCCATAGCTCCATCCTTCACAGTTATAGTTACTTTTATGAGTTGATGACTGATTTCAACTAAAGCGTATTTTGAGATTTCTGAACCCAGTGGCTTGCATGTGTGTTCTTTTCTGCATTTGGGTTCTACACAGACATAGGGAGAGAGTCTGTGAATGAGTGTGCTTACGTGAACTGCACAGTCTATGCATTTCATCTTGTTTCTTTAGACGTAATTTTAAGTTTCACATGCAGATGATTAAAAGGTGGATTATGCAATGACCAGGTCAAAGCAACATAATTCTGACAAAATTTTATAACCTCCTCTAAAACTGTTTATTGCTGAAAAAAGGCACTTAATCTATAACTAAATTCACCTGTTAGGTTAGATAGTGTATCCGAGATTTTCGCTGTATTTTTAAAAATGATGAAAATACAAATTGTCTAAGTATTTTCATCTAACTTCAGTTGTGTCATTGTTTTACAACTTGGATTGTATGAGTAAAAAAATAGCCAAGTATTTGGCTTAATCTTTTTAATTGTCCCATGTGAAAAGCATTTTGTAAATCAGGAAGGTAGCACCATCTAAATCTACCTATCTCCGTTTTCGATTGTACTTTTCACTGCATTCTACAGAAGATGTAGTTAAAACTCGATTAATTCCAGTGTATCATGTTTACATCACTGGGTGGGTACTGACACTGGTGTTTCGATGTTTTTCTAGGATTCTCTGGGTCACTTCCACCAAGTGTGGTATGATGACCCTCACAGCATCTCTCTAAAAGCGGCGTACGTGAAGCACAGAGGTTTGAGGGGCATTGGCATGTGGAATGGAAATAGTCTTGACTATTCCAAGGAAGCTGTAGCAGAACAACAAACTGAAGCGATGTGGCAAGCCCTGACACCGTAAGAACTATGTGAACCTTTGCCTTAGAATGAGGAAAATTGGTAAATTTTTATAATGGCTTATACTATCATAGATTTTGACTTTATATAAATATACCATGATTACAAAAATTTCAAGAACTAGCCAAATTCATCTTGTTATGCAAAGCTATATTTTCATTCTTCAAAAAATACCGATGTTGGTTTAGTGGCTTTTTTTTTTTAAAGACTGATCTTTTTTTTAATTTTTCATAACAACCACAAGTTGGTTAAAGCTTGAACCAAGTAGGCGTAAGGGGTGGATTTACAGGGGCAATCTCATAACGATCATTTTCCAAGGCTGCCTGGTGCAGCAAGTATTCATTCTGAAAATGAGAAAACTAGAACTCAGAGGGTTATTTTATGAACTGCATACATATTTTTCCACACATTTTAAGATTCATTCAGTAGCCTACTCTTTGGTTTTATGTGATGTTGCCTCTGAGGTAAGGTGATAATAATAGTTCATATTTTTCATAAAATAATTTGCCTAGAGAAATTGTGTAATTTCTTAAAATATCTGTAGTGATGGAAAGACTGACTGGTGTTCACAAGATTATTTTTTTGTTAAATAAAAGGCTGTCTTTGCTAAGGTTGGTAAACAGTGTTGTCTCGTTATGCTTTACTTGTTCCACAGCTTTACAGCTCACACGACATCTCTGCTTCTCAGACCTGTTTCACAACCAGATTAAAGTGCAGTTGTGCCCTGCTTAAGTGACTCCATTAATTAAATGATTTATTTAATTAGATAGATGTAGTCAGTTGTGGGGTTTTTGCTGCTGTTGTGGTTTGGTTTGGTTTTTTCCCTTGCTAAATAGTTACTGGGAAAACACCACAGAACAGCAATGCTACCTAATGGCTGTGGAGGAGAAGACTTCCTGTGAGTGTCTGCTTGATTCCACAGGTGATGGAAAGCAGAAGGTGAAGCCTACTGCTCTCACATAACGAAGAAATTCCCTTGGAAAACCAAAGGGCCCTTCGCTAGGACGCTGGTCTGTAGGTTTTAGAAGAAACTGATAAATTTATATGACAAATAGATACTTCAGTATTTGTATTAGTGCTTATATTCCTATGCTAAAATACTGTGAGATGCGTATCTGTGAAATTGAGAGGTCTCTGGAGCAGATGATCTGACGTACAAAATCCTTAACTGAAGGCAAGATGACTTTTATTATAAAACCCTCTTACCTGTAGCAATCAAGCATCATGAGTTGATATTTTTTATTTTTAATTTAGGTTCAGATTTTCCAGTAGCTAGTTGCCTGCTCTTGTGTCTTAAGTAAGGCACAGTTCTGAAATACAGGATGTAGGATTCAATCCTGAATTGAGCAAAAGTGGTTGTAGGTAATAATTAATTTAACACTTTAGCACTTAAATCTTTGCTAAATCCTATCTTTAAGAAAATAAATTGGGTAATGGGTGGTTTGACTCAAGACATTTGGAAGTTAGTCCTTCTGAGGGTTGCATAATTTTCTTATCATATTGCTGATTTCCCGTACGCGTTTCATCTCTGGCTTTTTAGCTGACATTAATTCCCAGCATGTTACTGTTCTGCTTCACGTAGTAACACCTAGTACTGCAAAGAGGCAAACAGGAGAGCTAGAAGAAAATTACTATCAAGAAGAGGCTTCTAAGTACCCTTTCAGAGAATTGTCATGTAAGCACATGCATAAATTTGAATTTAAAGAAAATCAAAGCATACAATACTGTAAGCTGGACCAGGGTCAACTTTACAGCTTGTCCAAGACAAAGCTTGCCTTGTCCACTAACTACAGAAAAAGGTTAATGTCCATGTGGCTTTCCAACAAGAGAGAGAACAACGCCAGCTAGACGTGAATTTAAGTGAGATTACCTGAGATTTTGCTCATTCTTAATATGGTAATAATATTTTGGTAATTCATAGACAGGCATACTGATAATGACGGAAGTATAGTTCAGTAAATAGCTAAATAAGAATTACTGTTGCTGTAGTTCTACGGAAGACGTATTCTAATCAGTCTGCAGAAATTTAATGTGTGTACCTGAAAATAAGAACAGGAGAGTATAGATTATAGGTTTAATTGCTTGGTAGGTACTTTTTTTTAATGAAAGAACAAAAACGTACCAGTGTGATGTTACACAGTTCACTAATTTGCACTTTCACAATAACTTAGCCTTGGTTTAGACATATTACTAGGTTAAACTATAAGCAGCTGACTAATTTTATAGTGAGATTTAAAAAGAAGTGAGCTGTACTACTTTAGTAGCTTAGTATACAAATTTCACAACATTTATCTTTTTACAAGATAACTTCAAGAACATTCAAATAACCACTCTGAAATTCTGAGCTTCTATGTACATTACAGAGCTTCTGTAGACTTCACAGGTGTTAAAGTCATGTCATCCTCTTAAATTCCCGGCTTTTATTGGACTGGAGAATTAAAGCTGAATGAATCTTCTTCTGTGTCAGTTCCGCTCTTAGTGCTCGTACCTCAGACGCTGCCTGCTTTCTCATCTGCAGAAGAACCAGTAATTTAAGGCACTGCAATTTCAGGCAGTTTTGGGGAGTTGACACACATCTGGGTTTATATAACTAAGACTGAATTTTTATACAGGATGGCTGAATACAGGATACATCTTTCATCTTTAAAATTTTACATGTCTCATTAGATAGCCTAGTTCTAACACTGCTTTCTTCTATACGTCGCCTTGGTGTGTTTAAGAGACAAGTGTGAAATTCATTGTTCTTTCCACTCCTTGTTATACAATGGAAGAGGCATAACAAGTACCTCTGCCCTAGATTACCCAGCAGACAGAGGCCTGGACAGTCTCTGTGAGGTAGAGGACTCCTGTTTCAAGCGCTCAGAGCTGAAACGCTGTCCAACATGAGGGCCACCTTCCTTCCAAAGGGAGCCACAGGCAGCACTGCTACGGAATAAAGCAAATGAAGAGGACTGCCATCTGCTTGAGCGCCATTCTTTCTTCTTTCTTTTCTTTTTTCTTTTTCTTTGTTACTTTCTTTTCTTTTTCTTCTTTTTTCTCTCTTTTTTCTTTTTTTATACCATAGCCACTGTCTTCCATAGACCAGTGCCTCACCAAGTATGAAATGGGAATTTTATGAAAGAGATTGTGAAACTTATCTTACCTTGAAAATCTAAGTTGCTTGAATGCCTTACTTTCAAAATCATCTAATAACCTGGTGTTCTGGAGTAATTTGGCTCAAAATGACAAAAACTAACACCATAAAACTAATAGCTTAAAACAAGACCTATTTAGCAAATACTTCCATCATCTAAATGTTTGGGGAGATCTAACTTTTAGTATACATAGTACCATTTTGACTGTTTCAATTAAAAGGAAGAGTACCTTAATTTCTATTACAAGTTTCATTTTTGTATCATCCAGCTTCCTCCTCAGTTGGTCGAGTTCATGCTGCACTGTAGTAATCCGGATGATTGTGTAATTCTACGTGAAACAACAAAACCAAAACTGTAAGTGCAGCGTTAGTGTTTCTCTTCATTCACTGGGTGTCACTTCACCACTCAGAACCAATACTCGAAACCCTTGCCAGATCCCCGGCTTCCTTCCAGTCCGCCACACGTGCTGGGAGTCCGGTCTCCAAGAGAGGGCAGCTCCCTCCTGCTGGGTGTAGAGGTTCTTCCACTCCCTAGTGCTTCCGGAAGCTAAGATCCACATCAGATCTCCTCACAGGACAGTGCTTTGCAATTATATTTTATGGTTACATTTCAAATAATTTTTCTCTCTTTCACAAGCTTAGCGTCACTGTCAGAGTATATTTATTAATGAGATTGCTACACTCATGTGATATTAGTAAAGATAAACTGCTGGTTATACAGCAGGTCAGTCCAGCAGTAGTGTGAGTGGACCTGTCTCTGGATTAACCTGTAAAACTAAAATTCATGTTTTCAAAATGTAGGTTCTGATACTCAGCTCACGTAGGTCAGTCAACCATGGTCCCTGGGAGTCAGTAACCCCGCGGGGCTGGGGTGTATCTTGTAATCTCTTGATGTTCCACACCTTTAAAAATGCCATTTAAGTGCCATCTGAAGCAAGTGATGCGATGAAGTTGCCCATACAAAGAGTCACTAAGCAGTATCTGTAGCCTCTCATCTCTGACCTCCTGCTACAAGCTGCTCCCCGCCCAGGGGTGTAGCTGCCAGTGTCCAAGGGTCCAAGTCCAGCTCTGACACTGCCCCTCTGTGTGACCCTGCCTCTGACCACCGAGCAAGCATGAAGTAACGCAATCATGCGGCAAAAAAAACCAGGCAGGGCTGTCAGACGAGTCGGGGGCTACTGCGGACTGACCACGTCACTGGGTTGGGTCACCACTGAGGACAAAGCTGGTGGAAAAGTCAGCGACGGCGGGATCTGTTGCCCGGAGCCTGGCTCTTCCCCCCTGACTGATGCCTGCCTGGCCAGCACGGAGCTTGCCAGGGGTGGAGAGCACACCCGTCCGTAGCCTAATTACTCATTAAATCCTGGCTATCTTCTGCGGGTGCCAACCAATAAATAACTGCATGTTAAGCTGCCCTTCACATAAGGCTTCTTTGTGCTTAGCCAGAGAGACCTTAAACAAACCTGATACCACCTCAAAAGGAGCAATAACGTATCTGAACATAGCTAGTAATATAATGTAATGTCAACCCTATTAATATTTCTGTAGTGGAGTTATTTATATTAAGGTAGCTCAAATAACACACACTGGTATATAATACACACTCTTAGACTGTACATACACTCTCCCACCTTTCAGATACAAGAAGGGGACATGGATTTTTCCTAGTCTAGCTTCAGATTTGCCAGCAGACTTGCTTCCATTCATGCATTTAGAAAATGAGCAGATAGACCTATTGGGAAGGGTGTTTTCCCTCTGTCCTGTCTTTTTTTCAGTTCCTCTTTGATCTTTCCATGATTTGACACCAATATCGTAACACGAGACTCACAACTGCACAATAGTTCAGGTGCCACCACTCCATAAGCCTCAGACACATTTCTTGCCCTCCAAACTCATCACCTCTGTATGTGAAGTTTGGGATGATGAGAACAATTTAGAACTGTAACAAATCAAGATTTTGATATGAGAAGAAGCAGCAGAATCAAATGCTCAGACTAAAGCACTTCTTTGGTCTTTTTGAGAAGAAGAGGCTGAGGAATTCTACACCTCAGATCACTGAGGGATATTTAGCTGTTAAAGCCGGTTTAGAAGTCATTGGTTGGTGATGAATTTATTACTTTGCAAAAAAAATATCAGGCTGTGTAAAAAGAGAGATTAAATAATACAAGCAAATACCTTGGAGTTTGCCATATTGTTTGGTTGTTTTCGGCTCTCTCTGGCTTCCAACTGCAGGAGTAGTTTCTGGTGATAAAGCTCTAAATCTTGTCTCAGTTTGTTTAAAGCATCCTCCAGGGAAACCGTAGCTTTCTTAGCTTCAAAGTACTTCTTTTTCCATTCCTCACGAGCTACACAGGAAAACAGGAATGCTGGTCAGTCTTGGTCATCTTTGAACATCACTGTTGAAGACAGTAATGACCAACTGATTCACAAGATTCAGTTGGCCAGTGCACACATTAAAATGTAAAAAAAAAAGCAATCAGTCAAAAATCTTCATTAAAATTACATTCTCTATATATGCAATTGAATTTCCACACAATCAACTGCAACAAAAGGTACCAAGATATACTACAAGGTCCAAACCCAAAATTCCATTCAGCCTGGCTGTTCTGCAGGTTTCAGCTGCACAGTAAGTGCTCCAGACCCGTGAGGAGTGGTACCACCCACCACAGTCTGGAGCCCACTGCTTGACTGGAGCACATTCTTCAGCACTGTAGATTTATGCAAATTTTGAGCTCTGCAGAATTTGAACAGCTTAGTTTTATACAGAAGTAAGTCCCAACATCATCGGAAATAGTTATTTATACTTAACTGATTCCCCCTATGTCATTTATGTGCTATCCACAGCCAGCACATAAATCCCCCTGTAGCTGGTGTGGTGGTCTTATGGCCACGGATATCCGCCAGTCTGCAAAGTGACTTAAATGATTCCTTTGTTCAAGGCATATTTTAGGAAATTGGGACAACTGCTTCTCAGAAACGTATCAGAAAACCCTAGCTGTCGGAGGGCTGTATGGTACGTGACTGAGAATGCCTTAGGAGGATAATAAACACAGACTGGGTTGCTCTTCCTACAGAACATGCTCTTCCCCTCGTACCTTGTAAAGAAACATGTTTCCAAATGCACTTATGAAACTACAGGTCTAATAAAAATAATTCAGAGGTAGAGCCACTTCTTAAAGAACCTGCAGAAGCTGTTTGAAACCTTGTGAAATAACCTTTATTTCACCTACATGGATAAAATAATTAAAGACAAGGTAGGAGCCATTTAGAGCTTATCCCAGCAAGGTAAATGAGCTTGCCTTGCAGGTCCGTGCTACTATAGACTCACTACTTCAACTAGAGATCCTTTTTTTTCCTTTTTTTCAAAGAGCACTTCACTCTGCTGCAGAGCACAGTGTAGCCATGCCCTCAGAGAATAACTGGAAGAATCTGCTTTTCTTTCAACAAAGCTATGAGCAGTAGTTGAGACTTCTACTGATGTAGCTCTGTTTAACTACAAAGAGAACTCTCAAAACATCAAAGTGATTAAATTTCACCTCTGTATAACTGGAACATGACTTACTTAGGGAAGATAGTTTTAAGTATAAACTTGAAAATACTTCTACACAAAACCTTTGGGTGGGATTTCAGTGATGTTCTACTGTGTTAAAAAACAAGGTTTGTCAAGCTTGTCATGACAGGCTTGGAACATCCATGCCATAAGCTGAAACCATGAGACAGAAGGAACAAAAGGCATTATGCTGGCAAGTTAACTAGAAACCCTATCAACGCAGTAAAAAACTCTGTAAGAACCAGCTCACGGCAGGTTTAGGGTATGCCAGCTGCCCTGGGCCTCGGACAGCAAAGCAGCCTCTGGGCACCGTACATGGGACACAGCTTGAATAGTTTATAAAAGTCAGGATATTTTTAGATTTTTAAGTCTGCCACAAAAAAAAAAAGTGAAAGGAACCTCGTAACCTTGAATCTTTCTGGCCTGCTGTTATACAAATTCTTGGAGCTATTGATTAGCAAACTGCTGTCTCTGAAATTTCGCTCACTCTCAAGGAGAAAAACATTTTCACATTGGTTCCCATGTCATTTCTCAATCATGCCACATTCCAAAATAAATTAAAACTGTACCGTGGTATCTTCTCAGCTTATTTTGTTCCAGTAGCGCTTTAGCTTTTTTGATCTGTTCTTCTCTATTTTTTTCCATGTGCCTTCTGTTTATCTGCATTTGTTGTAATTGTTCTACCATCTTGTTTTCTAAAGATATTATAATTATATTTAGCAAACATCTGGACACTGTAAGTAGGGGGGATCAATCAAGATTTTTGTAATGCACCCATCATAAATCATGACAAAAGGTCTGTCAGAAAAGGCAGTAGAAATTCTTTTGTTTTAATAACTAACTTTTCAAAACACCCAGTGCATTAGAAAAAAGTGAGGAATCCAGCATGCATCCAGGCACTCACACACACACAGGTAAATATCCTTTTCTATGCCTAAACAATTTATCATTAAAACTATCTGTTCAAGATACATATACACAGCATACATTGAAAACTCTTGCTATGTGAAGACAAAAAGCCCTCCAGAATTCTCAAAATTCTTTGTGACACAAACTTTAGTGAAGTCTTGCCTTAAACTCCAGCTGGTGTAGTCAGGATGGCATCAGACTTCCACTAGGCTGTAAAAATAGTCAATCATCCTCTCACTATGTCGCTTCTGCACCACAGCCGAGGATCCTCAGCAGAACTACCAGCGGTTTTCTTTGCCACCTTCTCCCTTGAGCCAGCACTATTTCACCCGACCTCCCTCCTTTCTTCCTTCCACTCCCACGTACACAAACTGAGTTTTCTAGCACTAGGTCTCTACGAACAGCACACGTAGTTACAAACACCTGGAATTTTTCAAACATAAAGTCATTCATAAGGTAGGTATTTCTGTCTTCATTAACTATTCAGTCTCAACTAAATGTTCGCTTCTCTGCAATTTCTTGCAATCACATACTCACTTGCTGCCTGAATTGTAGGACCCCAAGCTGGATTTGCAGAAGGTGCCAGAAAAGGTGGACTAGGAGGCGAAATACATTCTTCTGGATAAGTAAGACAATTTTGTTGCTTGTCTTCATCTGCCTGTAGAGTCAGAAGACACAATGCTAAGTACGTAACTCCTAATGCTGACTAGTTCCATTGTCTATGCGCTGAAAGTGGCCTGAGTGAATGGCAGGGCGGAAATCGAATTCTGCATATAAGCTTTTTTTATTCTGCAACCGGTACAAATAATTACAACAGCTGGACTTCTGCATAAAAATTACAACACTGAACACTTACATTGCAGAGAACATACAGACAAAAACATAGACTATTGCTAATTGTTCTTGTGCACGTCCATAACCACACGTTACTGACACTCCCATGCAAAACCAGGAACAATGGGTTTAAAACTGCCACCTGGTTCATCGCTCACGAAATCTGGACTGACAGCTTCTAAACTAAAGTTTCTAATAGCAGATTTTCAATTTCATTATTATTTTCATTGGACTCCGTTATAATCATTTCTGCGCAAGAGCTCACAGGTGACAGTTAATAGTGACGGCTATTCTGCGGTACGATTGCATGTGGGTGCTGAGTCTTTCTAAATATGTTCTTATTCTGATACTACGACTATATCATATCTATGTTTTAATCAGAAGTTTTGCTTGGCTTGAGAAATACACAGGAAATACAAAATTATAAAAACAACACTTATAAAAACAATTACATGATAGTGTTAAGAAACAGTGAAAAAAAAATCAGCAAACATTAATAGGAATGAGATAATTCTGGTATATGTAGTCCCTGTTAATTTATAACTTCTGATGTTTTTATTGTTTAGAAATATAGTTGCTTTTTCCTTAGCATATCTGCTGAGTAGCACTGCATGAATTAACTTGTCTCAATCACTCTCAAATCTACGTTTGAGTATTTCACATTTCTAATGAGTTATCTGTTTTATAAAATTAGACCATTTCTACGTGGACTATATTTATTGCTCAAGATAACTAAGGAAAACACACCTGATTATCCAGTTTTTCACCAGGAGCAGCTGTAGACTTGCTAGTTCTGTATTGCTGCAAGCTAACAATAAAAGCAAAGAAGTGGGTGAAATTTCATGCAATGAAATGGAGGTTTGCCCTATTTTCTTTAATTTATTTGAAGTCGGTAAAATAAGTTTCCAGGCTAAAAATTAGTATTTTCCATTATTTTAGCAGAATCATTACTTACTAACCTTTGTGTTTTGCATACATATTCTGTGGTTTGGTCTTCCGTTGTTTTAAGAATTCCAGTGTCCTGTGTTCTGCCTCTTCTCAGTCTGGTGTCTTTTTGGTGGTCATTATTTTCCATGTTTGTTAGTTCTGTGACAGGATAGTGATGATCAAAATACACTACACTCACAAAATTCAAGCTGTATTGACTGTCAGTGCCTGGACTTTTAAACTTGTACTAGAAATATAACTGCTTGGGGACTAATGGCTCTCCATGCAGATATCCCATTTTAAAGGGAGCAGCAGTTAACAGATCTCTGCCAAGCAATGCTCTCTGTTTGGGCACAGACCTGTTACCCAGTTAATGTGAGCTTTAAACCTCTCATACTTTGGTACGATTTTCACTCTAGCCTGCTCAAAGAGCTCTCTCACCTCTCAGTTTTAGAAAACCTCCTGTTCAACAGCATATAAATAAACTTTATATGGGAGTGAAGGGAGGAAACCCTTCCTCTTCAGTAGTAGTGTAACCATGGGTAAGATGATCATGAAAGCTGAACTGAATATTTTCCCTGATATACTAATAACAAGATATTTTTCATCTAAACTTGCTATTGAATTATGCCACCATTATACTCCAGTATTTACAGTGGTGGCTAAGTAATTTTTTTTCACATGAATAAGATCAGACAAATGCATCAACAGTAGTAAAGCATTTCCCTATATCAGTACACCGTGATAAAGAATGACTCGCCCAAAGTAAAACTACATCTATTTGAAAGATATTACCATTATTGAAAAACTAGAATACTGTTCCAATAGCAATGTTACAACTCATGCTTTAACTACTGATTACTTAAAACTTAGCTTTACTCCACTAGCTTTTTAAAACATATGCTTTAGCAAAAAAATGATGACCAACAGTTGTACCCTTTTGATATTTAATGCGATTTTGGGGTGTTTGATTATTCTGACTTTGGTCACCGCTGTGGTTTACATGAAGAGTAAGAGCAATTCCTTTGGCTTGGTCATTCCGCTTAGGCGTGTTGTGCTCTTTCTGATCTTGGCTGAGATGATTTTGCCAAGAGGTCCGTAATACCGTATCTCTCTTTCCAGAATCCCCATCTGCAGGACTTGGATGACTTGGTGTGAAGAGAGATCCATTGGATCCATTCTGATCTGCATAATAATTGACATTAGAAAACAGAAATATTATTTTGTTGTAAATGTTAACCAATATTTATTCTTCTCCTTCATCATGCTCCTTCACTATATTGGTTAAACTTACCTATTTTTGTACATTGTATCTGTTTTTCTTGACTCTTGTGGTGGTCTTGCTTCCATTTTGCGTGCAAAACCGGAACAGGTTCTTTCTCATCCCATTCCAGGGGACTGTGCATCTCCTGATTTTCTAGCTGATGACTGCTTTGTATGTTTTCTAAAAACTGTTCGCTTTTTCCAGGTTTTTGTTGGGGAAGACTGGATAATCTTGCTCCGTGACCAAACCTATTGGCTTCTGCATTAAAGTGATGTCTGCGTCGAGTTGATGATGATAATCGATGAACACCTTCAAGGTATTCCACTCCAGGTAATAAATATAATTCAGGATAAAGTGCCTAAAATACGCAGTATATTCATCAGACAGGACAAAAGAGGAAATGTACAACATAAAAAAGTTCCTGAAAATGACACCTTAAAAGCCACTAAATCCATACATAAGGAGGAGCAAACGACTTCAGTTCCAGTTCTGCTTCTTGTTTTGAGTTCACCTTGGAAGACAAAGAATGGAAGCGTAACCAATAAAATACTTTTGTATCATTATTTTTGCCTCATCATCATCTTGTATTTTTTCATAACCAGAACTGTCTTCTGTAATGGCCTTATGGGGAAGAAGGAACATAGACTATTATTCTATTTTCTGACAAGGAATTGAAACTTTGTCTATTTTTCAATATCTCAGACACAAAAGAGTACATGGATGAACTGAATATTTTTTTTTTATCCTTTGCACTTTCTCTCATGGTTCAAAGGACCTAATCCAACAGTCACAGAAAAAGGTCTTTAATCTTTTTTTTTTTACCAAAAGTTGCTTCAAGTTGAGTCTAAACAGAAATGCTGAGCCTTGTGCAATTTTCTCTATTCACCTGATACAACACTGCACAATATTTATATATAGAAAAAAAGCTACTACTCTCCTATGTCTTCTTTCATTGCTTGTCTTGATATTTTTTGTGTGATAAACACTTACAGATTTCAACAGTTGTCCTAAAAACAAAGTCTAAGATAATCAGTGTATATTTTAAAGATTTGCTCCAACAGAAAAAAAAAAAATCTGAACTCACATTTAAATAATGAAACAGAACTAAACATGAGGCCAATTCTATTCTCAGTAATACCCAGGCAATGCCACTGATTCCCTGTTAGAGACACAGGCTATACCCAAGAAAAGGAAGAGCAAATGAACGTGATTTTGGTTTACGTTTAATTTTCATTTAAAGACCCTCACTTGCAAGCTGGATACAGCTGTTACTAATGCTGACATTGTTACTGTTGTGAAACAGAAGACTGGGCGGGGAAAAAACCAACCACTCAACAAATATTTGGTCATGGAGATGTATTTCAGTGAGGTTACCATGACCCCACACAACAAATAACCTAGTTAGTTAGTTTATTGCTTTACACTTTGTTATAAAGTTAAACATCAAGCAACAGTAAATATCCCAAATTAAAATTATATCTTCAATTTGTCACTAAAAACCTAGACTTGTATCTACCAATATATTTAATTCTGTATTAGAATAAAATATTTTATTAACTTCTTGTCATTCTAAAGGAAGCTGGAAAATTTCTCCATTTATCTCAGAACTATCAGTGGTGAAGAAAAATATATCATCTTACTTATTACCCAGTTAAAAAGACCTGAATTACTTGAAGACATAGACATATTTTCAGATTTAGATTGTGTCACAGACTTTAAGTTTCGCTTTAATTTCTTCCACATATTTTTTGCACGTTATTTATTCTAGTCTGTGTGAGTAATTTTAGTGATAACTCCAAGGAAATAAACAACAGCACCAAATTTCCAGCTTGTAACTAATTTCCAAACTGGTGAGAAGCGGGGAAAACAGAGGTGAAAAAGTATTCTGTACTTACATTCATGACTTCAGTCTTTGTGTATTACAAACTTAGAGCTGGGCTGATTTGATGCTTTAAAGGGTGTTTCTAATATACTTGTCCAGCTCTGCCTTTGTATTTGGGGACGCAGGTCTGCTCTGACAAGAGCAGCTTATGCTCCAGACTATTTTTTAAAAAAATGCTACCAGTGCTCCTAAAGTTATCTCTGTTTTCTTTTGATAATCTGCAGGAATAAGATCTGTGGTTTACATTATGAAGCAGAAGAGCACTAAAGAAAAAACCAAAAGCATTAACTTACCACTGCTAGTTTTTTCCCAATGCATTTTAAAAACCTGAATTTATCTGCAACTGCAACTCCACCCAGGTACTCTCCAAGCTTCTCCCGTAGCAGTCTTAATGTGACGTGAGGAGACACCCTAGAATGTTGTTATTCATTAATACGTCCGTAAGATCAAATAATGATGGCTAGTTAGTAAGAGGGGGAACATAATGCGATATACATGCTGGCTTGAATGGACAGAATGACCAAAAATGGGAACCGTGTTCTAGAACCGAACCTAATTACATCTAGAGCAGAGAGTCTTGGTGTGGTAGCGTGAGAACACTGTGTCACCTTATGGTAGCTGTATTACAGGGGCTGTCACAACATTAAATAGCTGTATTCATATTTTAGGAACCCCATACAAAGGGAGATTATGAAAGCAGATTAAATTTGAAAATTACTCCTTCAGAATGCTCTTGCTCATCTGCAGATGAATAACACAAACTTTGGAAACTGCAGCCATGCGTTCTCCAGAGAGATGACAAAGTCCTGGCTGGTCCAGAACTGCAGAACATACAGTGCTAGAGGAGATTTCATCACTGCCCACTTCAAGGAGCAGGCACATCCCTTTGATTTTGTCTTCTCCACACAAATTTACAGGTGGGTGTGTGCATGCGCACATGCAAATGTATTTTAAATCAAAACCAAACACTGCAGTGTGAACATTTCCACCTTAGCTCAAGGATGAGAGAGCTGATGCAAATATGACTTGCATCATTTCATGTACTACTGGACACCATGCAAATAGTAAAGTAATGAACGACAGAATAAAAAGCATCTCCGCAGAATAAAAGCAAATGTGCAGGAGGCACACAAAAGCTCTGCAGTACCATATAAACAATCTTAATTGCTCCTATGCTGCTATAAAATATAAACCAGGGAACAAATTTAGGCCTGAGACTATTAATCAGCCATGCTGATTAAGTGCTGCTATACCAGCTAGCATGATTTTGACCACGGCAGCTATCCCTCTTCAAACCATGCCCTGACGTAGCCTGGGGGCTAGCACACGCCGTTCCCTCTAAACAGTACAGACAAGGACGTGCCTTCCCTTTAGCTCGGACAGGTTTTCAACACCGACCTGTCAGAATTTTTCTGCACTTTCAGACAGTCCTATTTGCCTTCACTTCACACCCGAGGTATGTAAAACCCCCTCGGTTTCATCTCATAAACGCAGCCCTTCAGCGGACTAAAGGGCTTCCCTTGCACTATTTCAGACACCCTGGACTTACAGGACTGTCCTGGAGATGGTGACTCTGCCCTGGAGCACAGGCAGAGGAGACCCAAGTCTGCAGAGTGGACCCACTTCTGGGTCTCTGTACATTCAGCTCCCATTTATGTCTTCCCCAGCCATTTTTTGCCCACACTTGCTGCAGATATTAGCCCTTACGTAATTTATTTCAAACATATAAAGAAGTATCTGAAAGACGGATATATTATTCAAAACACATCCTTCCAAGGCCTTATGTGACAACAGAGATGATCTATAACTCAAATATCTCTCATTCACCATCACTTTTTCAAGCTGATGTCTCAGAGGAGGTATGCCCCTCGAATAGTCCTACTTATGTCTTCCCCAGCCATTTTTTGCCCACACTTGCTGCAGATATTAGCCCTTACGTAATTTATTTCAAACATATAAAGAAGTATCTGAAAGACAGATACATTATTCAAAACACATCCTTCCAAGGTCTTATGTGAGAACAGAGATGATCGATAACTCAAGTATCTCTCACTTTTTCAAGCTCTGATGTCTCAGAGGAGGTATGCCCCTCGAATAGTCCTACAAAACCAAACAAATGCAAGCTCTTTCAGTGGCAATTTTAATACCACAGAACCTTCACTGATAATGCCTGTCCAAACCAGCAAGAAAACCTAAATATAAGGCATTTAGGAACAGCAGGGAAAACATCTAAGTAACTACAATATATCATGGGAGAAAATTATCTAAGTATACAGAACCTGCAATACAGGGTAGAAATTTATTTGAATATTATTTGCCAGTGCAGATGCTAGGAATAATCTATTTCTTACTTGCTGCCACTGGCTAGCAGAAGACAAGTCACATCTGAGTCATTTCCTTCAGGGTATTCCTTCAAAATTAGTGCAAACTAGAGTTCATTGCAGCCATTTCATCTAGAAATAACAAAAGTATGGCTTCTGTGATGAGGAATAAATAAAAGATCACCGAGTTTGAGAAATAAGCTTCACAGGAACAAGAACTCAGGGCCACTGACAATTACACACTTAATATTTTCCTCTAATTTCACGATTAATGGAAGTTGCCTGTACTTAGACCTAAGAATACTTTTTAAGCTGACTCGGACAGTACTAGGATTGTCAAGCTGACCAGACAGTGCTATTAACCACGTTCAGAAGGCACTAGAACCGGCAAGTACCTGCTGTTCCTTCTCCCAGATTATAATAACAGAAGGGTTTTTAAATATTTTTTTGTTGTTTTCGAAGACATTGATATACTGGTCAGGTGCTAGCTACTGCTAACGTTAATGTACTCCAGCATTGTGCAGTGCCCACAGAATAATTAATTAGCAACTATTTAAATCTCATTACCAAGCAACAAACATCCAGACACATATAAATTCACTGAAATCAATGCGAATTCTAATTTAAATTGATGTCTCAGAACTGAGCCTTAGTGAAATAAATTTACACTAGAGAACACAAGGCAGTGACGGATGTCCAGTCCCCTGAAATGATTTGCAGTTACCACTCCAGCTGAGTATTTTACATCTCCACTGGAGATGAGAACAGCAAACAAACCGGATACATGCACTTATCTCCTCTGGTTTGGGGCAGCCTTTCGACAAAAGGAGCTGCAAGAATTAATATATTCTGCCCCACATGCTCATACCTGACTGCTATCAATCTCTTCAGCTACACAGCATATTGTCTTAAGCGGACAACACAAACATAAAGTTAAATTATTTAAAACCCATATTTCGTGCAGTTCAAGCTAAATTGACAGGTTTCACACAGGAGCAGACAAGGTGCATGTAAAGGCTCTGTTTCAATACAAATCTGTACATGATTTGATTCTTCTGCGACTTCTTACCACACTAGATACACACAGATTCTGCAGATACACACAGATTTTGTGCTTGGGAGCATAAAACAAACTTTCAAAGTCTGCAGACTGCAACTCTCTGTGTGAGGTTTGGGCCTAGGGTTGGGAACCAGGGTATTCTCTCACTGAGTACTCTCAGCAGCTCCCTGAGAGCACCCACAGCACATGGCATTGTGTGCAACCTTTCAAAAATACTGCTGAGGAAGGAAGAAGATACGCTGGTACTTGCATGGGCTATAATGATTCCCCTTAAGAAACATGGCTTAAGCTCCGTCTTCACACTCAGAGAGCTCAGATCGTCACATCCTTGTTCCAGGGAACTGACAGGCTCTCCCACCTTCATCAAGCCACTCTGCCTTGAAGCTGGCCCATTCCCCGAAATGAATTCAAGATTTTGATAACCAGGCTCAAAGAGACACAAATAATATAGGGCTGCGATTTTACAAAGTAAATTATTCTGCAGAAACACTAGCACTGCTCTGCAAGCGTGTTTTAACGGTCTACACCAAGGGCTGCACTGGAGCAAAGCCTGATACAGTCCGAATAAACATAATGCTAGTCCTGGGCACCGCTCACCCTCCAGAAATTATTAGAGAAAAGTCTCTTCTGACAGACACAATTGCGCTCCACAGAGCAACAGCTTGACTAAATGACTGAAGGACAATGTAATGGAACTACCATGAACATGAAGCCTAAGATCATACTCACCTTATAAATCCAGCTGAAATGAACTTGCTAGTAAGAGCTACAGGAACTGTATTCAGCTTAAAGTTCCACACTTCTTCTGGGACATAAAAAACATGGAGCTCCACCAACTAAATAAAGAACAGATGATCATAATGAAGAACAGATGATCATAACTGTAGACATATTATAACCCTCTTCCTATGTGCTTTGCTCTGCTCGTGTGGATTTTCAATCTTTGGAGGCAGCAATGATTTCTTGGATGTTAGCACATGGACTAGAAGAGTGAGGCTCTATCCATCAGTGACGACTAGATAGAACAGTGACGAGCTGAGCAATTTGTGCCTGAATGCCAGCTGACAGCATCAAAATAAGTCACATCAGAACAAGTTCAGCAACGGAAATGACACAAAAGAGAGCCTGTGCTACTGCTGTGTGGCACTGTGACAGCAACGGACAGCGCTTAACAAAAACAGTTGAGCGTGTCATAGTAACACGAATACTTCAGCTGAAATCTGACCTTTGCTCATCTCATAAAAAATGCAAAGCCCTGAAAGCTTGATCCAAACAGCACCACAGCTTGATCTTGCCAGCAGGAAAAAAAAAAATCAAAATATTTCTGATAGTTGCTAATCATATCAGTCATCTTGGAAGAACAGAAACTCTCCTGGTTACATCGGCAAAAAGAATAATTAGGCCCGCTCTGAGCACGGTTCACCTAGATTGTGTTCAAAGCCGTGGCAGTTGTGGGACTGTTAATGCCTAGGTCTCAGTATTTTGAGTGAGAATCAGATGCTATTGAGAAGAAAGATACACTTCCCTATAACTAGAAGCCATGCAAACATGCTATATATTGCTTCAGCTGTTGAGTTACTAAATACAAATATAAACTAGAAAAGAATGCTTTTTATATATATACACTGAGTTAAAAACTCTTTTTTTTTTTTAACTCTCAGGTCTCCCAGAAATGCTGCAGCGTCATTTATTTTAATACGTTTTAATTTTATTTGTAAAATCTAAACATCTTTATGGAAATGTACAAAAGTTCTCACCTGTGATGTTCGAGGTCTCATTTGACTGAATGACATGCTGGTCCCTGTACTTGATCACAGTGAATGCCAGGTGAGCTTTCTAATTTTCTTTTTGATCAAAACATTTTTTAAGAATGAGTTCCACGATAATCTGTTATGAGAGAAGTTACTCCATTAATATCGTTTATTTTCATTTACGGTTCTTTCCATTTGCGAAAATGGAAAACTTGTTACCGTGCTGAGGCAGAAAGCTCCCAGCTACCTGCAGACAAACAGAGGCAACCACACCTGCCACCCAAGCGAGCATCACCAAAGTAACCGGGGGGATTGCTAAATCACAGCCCTGCGGCTCAGAGGCACCTGCCCTGGAGTATTTCCTCTTAACATGTCCTCCCCTTGCATAAACATACTTTGTTTGTACACGATTTTCTACACAATTGTATTGTTTTCCTAAAGATATAGACTTAAACGGTCGCAAAACGGGACTCTGGCAGCGTCTGGGTTTCTCTCTGATGAGGGGACAATTGTCGTGAACTGCAGCCGAGCCACGTGCAGGGCACGTCGCACCAGCCACGCGCAATGTTCCAAGGAAACCGAACTGTGCTGAGTGACCACGCCAGAAAAAATCCGTTCAGAAACTATACACCGTGGTTCTGCCTAACCCTGTAAGCAGCTTCCTCAGCGCCCTCGCTTTGAAGGCCCTTCCAGCACTTCGGATGTTACAAACCTCAATTTCCAGCCGGCTCAGCGCCCTCGCCCTTCTCCTGAGGGGCCTGGCAGCTCTCCCATGGAGTCCTTCCTGCTCGCCTCTCCGGCACAAGGGCCAAGACAATCCAGGTGTCACCCCGGCTCCCTGGGGCGGAATTAAGGCCTCCCCGCACCTGTGGAAAGCGCCTGCTCAGAAGGGCCCTGACCTGCCTCCTGACACCCACCCGCAGGGAGCTCTCACCAACGACCCGGCTGTGACATCC